TTCGCCGACTGCACTAGTCCGTTCCCTTCCTATGGACATCCACTAAGTACATGACAATATCTCCCAATTCAAAGTCATGTTGTATCCTTCTTCACATCAAGCAACTCCTTTTCGTTGTATCAAATCTCCCGCCCTATAATGGCCGATATTTCAAGTCAAGTCCGAAAACCCAGTCACTGTCCACCCTCGATCCCAATTCCCTCCAGACTTTTTCTCCGTGTGTGGTTATCCTGCCACGAATCCCATATGCTACTCTGCCACTCTCCCACTTTGGTCAAACTCACTCCTCTGAGCAACTGCTCGGCTCATGTCTTCCACACTAGGCTTTCTAAAAGTTTAATCACCACAAGACACTTCCAACATGTCCTTCCTCGTCCTCTGCCGCCCAGTTGTTGCCTTAAATTAACATCTATCCTGGTAGCACTTGCACCAACAGATCGCTACTACTCTAAACCTTTCCGAAGATCATCTTTCTCGAGCCGTCAACATTAGAAATACCGATTCGATCCTGAACCTCCGCACACCGCGATCTATGACAATCGTTCCTTGATACCATTTCACAATACCTTGCCTAAAGGTGAATTGAAGAAGATAACACCAGCAAAGTTAACACATTCAATTGAGGACGACGACACCGCGTTGCAGATGAAAATTCCACCGCATTTGAAAACTCCAAGGCTCGCTATTCTATCAACCCAAACCTGATCATTCTTAGTCCGATTGCCTTTCCTCCGCCGAAAATAAAATACCAAATCTCTGAATCATGCACTGAGTAAATCTCCCTTCAAGTCATTCACTTCCCGACACGTAGGCAAGCATCCTACCATAATATCAATACTGCGCGACAACCGTTCATAAGCATCATGGCAACTTGTGCCTAGCCTCAGAGCTCTCAGAAGTACAGTTACTGAGTTGAAACGACATAATATCATTCCACAAGGCGACGACAATAGCTCAAACAACCACGCAGGGAGAAACATCCCACACCACAATCGTAGTACCATTACAATTACTCACCCGCCGATTCATGACCAACGCTTCACGTCGCATAAGATTGAATGGAAAGGAAATGAAAGCATAAGCCTCAAAGGGAATCAAATCGTACGATGAGGAAATCAAGAAGGGAAGTGCTCCTAACAGCCCTGTAGCCTCTCGAAGATAAGTATAGACGTCTCTGTACCGATCCGCGAGACTCTACTAGACTTGCTCATGACTCGTGATACCTAAGGGAACCTAGTGCTCTGATACCATGTTGTCACGACCCAAAATCCACTAAGGGTCGTGATGGCGCCGGACACCACTGTCAGGCAAGCCAACACTAAGAAGTTAATTAAATTCCCATTTTAGTATTTATTGAAATCGTCCCTTTGATACATTACACAATAAATAACGAAATTCATTGAAATAAGATGATGTTTTTAACAAACTTAATATTTAATAATCCCATAATCATCCCAGAACCCGGTTTCACAAGTGCATGAGCTATTTTTAGGAAAATCAAATGAAGTACAATAGCTGTCCGGGATACAAATTGGACAGAAGGTAAATACTATACACTGAAAGAGACTATGCCGGCTGCGGGTCGCCTCGAGAGATGCAGCTCACCTAAGTCTCCGTATCATCCATGCTGCTATGCCCATTAGGCCGCTAGAGGTATATGTGCATGTGCAACAAAAATGCACGGCAAGTGTAGCATGAGTACAAAAACAACGTGTACTCAGTAAGTATCCCGTCTAATCTCGAAGAAGTAGAGATGAGAGGTCGGCATCGACACTTACTACTAATCCAATAACAATATACCAATAATATAGTAAATCGAGGATTTTCATAAAAAGGGTTGTAACTCAATAGCATGAGGCAAGTAAACAACTTTTTCTTTTATAGAAAATTCCCAAATTTATTTTTATCATTTATACATTTATCTCAGGCCACGGAGAAACAAATATCAACATCAATGAATTTCAAGGCAAGCAATACAAGCATGCGAAAATCATGCCGAGGTTGTACGACCCGATCCAACAAACATTTAAACTACGCACTGCCAGAGGGTCAAATGGAGAGAACCATAGATGCATCTATTTAATCTACCGAGGCGTTCGGCCCGTTCCACAATAGATAAACACATTCAAACAGTCAAATCAAGAATTCATCAAGGAACAATTATTCAAGAAAAGGCAAGCTTCTCTTTTAAAAGTCAAGAATTGATGTCTAGCCTTTTAGAAATTTATATATACATTAAATATGTTTTAAGCATTTTTAAATTGACAATAAGGTTGCAAATCAAGTAAAGCATGAATTTGGGCCCTAGACTACCCGGACTTAATCATAATAGTAGCTACGCACGGACTCTCGTGACCTCGTGCGTACGTAGCCCCCACAAATTGGAGCACATATCCAATTAAATCACCTGTGGGGACAATTCCCTCTTACAAGGTTAGAAAGGAGACTCACCTCGCTTCGAAGTTCCATAACCGGCATTCCACGCCCTTCCGAAGACTCAAATTGATGAAAAATACTCCAAAACTAGCCAATAATTATGTAAACCCATTAATTTATGTTCAATTACTCATTATAGTCCAATTTATAACAATTCCTAACCCTAATCGAAAAGTTGACAAAATTGCCCTCGGGCCCACGTGCCCGAATTCTGAAATTTTTCGAAAATAAAGCTTACCCATGACCTCACAAACTCAAATATATAATTTATTCTCAATTCCTGCCCAAAATCGTGGTCAAAATCAAAAAATCTCAATTTCTAGGTTTTTCTTTAAAACCCCAAATTTTCCTTTAGATTCTCATGAATTTTGATGTTAAATCTAAGGTATAATCACAAAATATAATTGAAAATTGGTTAGAGGCACTTACCCATTGATTTGATACGAAAATCCACTCTCAAAATTGTCCATTCTCGGACCTAGGGTTCAAAATATGATAAAATAAAGCAAAAACCTGAGTTACACAGCTGAAAACAAGCTGGTTCGCAAAAGCGAAGAAAGCCTTCGCAAATACGAACAAGAAAGGGCTGGAAAGGTCGCATTTGCGACAAAAAGTTCGCAATTGCGAACTGGGCATCGCAATTGCGATGAAAATGTTCGCAATTGCGACCACACCAGAACCAGCCATTTTTTCCCGACACAAAAATGAGCATAACTTCCTCATACGATGTCCAAATTCGATGATTCTTTTTGTTATGGCTGCGTAATTACGATACGGATCTAATGATTCAATAAAAACTAAATTTGGAGCTCATTCGCTTAATGTGATACCCTTTATTTCCAAAGAAACGACGTTGAAACATCAAATAAGAGCGCAATACAACCCGAAGCACACCCAAGGCCCCCGGGACCCCGTCCAATCACACAACTTTGTTCCATAACATAACACGGACCTGCTCGAAGCCTCAAATCACGTCAAACAACGCTAAAACCATGTATCGCACTCCAATTCAAGCTCAATGAACTTTAAAATTTCAAACTTCTACTTTCGATGTTTAAATCTATCAAATCACGTCCGTTTGACCTCAAATTTTGCATACGAGTCATATTTGACATTACGGACCTACTCCAACTTCCGGAATCGGAATCCGACCCCGATATCAGAAAGTCCACTTCCGGTCAAACTTCTCAAAAACCTTCAAATTTCCAACTTTAGCCAAATGACTCCAAAATGACCCACGGACCTCTGAATTCACTTCCGATCGCGCTCCCAACACCAGAATCACCATACGGAGCTATTTCCCGAGTCGGAATCCCAAACGGACATCGATAACACTGAAATGCACTTCAACCCAAACTTATGAAATTCCTCCAAAAAAATTCTAACTTCCATAGTAGGTGCCGAAACGTTTTCGGGTCTTCCAAAACCCGATACGGACATACGTCCAAGTCTGAAATCATCATACAAACCTGCTGGAACCTTCGAATCCCGATTGCAGGTCGTTTACTCAAAAATCCAATCTTAGTCAATTCTTTCAACTTAAAGCTTCCGAAATGAGAATTCTCTCTCCAAATCAACTCCAAACTTCCCGGAATTCAATTCCGATCATGCGTACAAGTCATAATACCTGAAGTGAAGCTACTCAAGGCCTCAAACCGCTGAACGACGCGCTAGAGCTCAAAAGGACCGGTTGGATCGTTACACATAAGCTGTCTTTTCAACTCAATTTCAAAAAATCATATTGCGATTCATTTATGGCAATGACAATGATTAAAGTTACTCTCATAGATTTACTATTAAAATTTTTTATCTAATTACCATCATGCGCGTGAAGATTATAATTTCTAAATTTTAATTTTGAATTTTGTATTTAACTTTTTTTTTCGTTGCAATAGTTATTTATTTACATAATTCATTTTTTCTTAAGAGGCAAAATGAGACAAATTAATATGTGAAAGTTACTTGAGAAGTGCTGCTTATCAAGTATTCAAGTGATTCAAAAACCATAACCAAGTTAAAACCTTACTCCTTTAGTAATTGGTGTACGTATTTTCCGATTCTATGCAAATCTTGCTACGAATTTATACTGTATTCTTAAATTAGATGGTAATGGAACTTATTAGTTGATTTTTCTTTTACATTTCTATTTATAAGTTTCTAATTTTATTTTTGTCTATGATAGTAGTTCATGGGTCGTGTCTATTTTTGTCATTATTATCTATCTATCTATATCTATCAACAATCAACAATATATTAAAAGCATGAACCTCTTTAATTAAAAGTCAGATTATTATTTTACCCTTATCTTAATATACGAAATTACCCTTTTGTTCAAAAATCCCTTTTTTTAAGAAGACCCTCAGATTAACTCCCGACTGAACAGACACAACCTCGGCGATAGGCGCCTTCTCTCTCAAAGAACGATCAACTTCCCCCAACAGTTGCACCTATTGACTTTGTACTCTTTAAAATCCAAACTCGATGGCAATTTTCTCTCAATCTTTTCTTTTCTCTACTAAAGCAACAGATATGGAATCTGAACTCTCCTTCACCAAATTCTTATCTATTTCAATTAGTCTTTTTCTACTCATAGTTTTTCACATGCTCCTTGCTTATCAGATCTCTGGCACCAATACTATTTCATCCAACCGATATTTATCTCTCGCAAAAACAATTTGTAAGTATCATGGTTTTGTTTTCCTAATGATTTTTGTGTCAATCATTTTTCACAGAGAAGCGCATGTTCGAAGAGTTGCACACCAGCTTCCTAAAGAGTTGCACACCATGGCAATTTTAACTTTCTTCTCTTCAGAAATTAGAACCCCCATGGCAATTTTCTTTCACTCTTCACTTAAACCAACAGCAAAATAGAAAAAGAAAAGAAGCAAAAAAGAAAACAAACGCTGCACAGAAAATTTAAATCAAAACTATACGCTTACTTGAAGGGATGTAACCCTTCACATATTCTAAATTTTGAGACCAAAGGAAGCACGAAAACAAAATCAAATGACTCTTCCGTAGACCACCAAATAAAGGCAAGAACAACGTCACACCACCATAATCATACAGGTACACATATGCTAATTCTACCAATGTATATGTTTCTTTACTCTATGTGAAGGTAATCTGACAAACCGAAAGCAATATTTCAAATCGATTTTGGTCGGCCTTTCTAAACTTGTTTCTAATTTCAATTAGGATAATTCTCTCTAATTAGTCTACAAATCGTTATGGTCTGTGATTACTACTTAGACTTTTGTTGATTATTAGATTGTTAATTTCATTGTTTGGTTTTCGTTTTGTTGTCGATTAGTGAATCTTTAGCCTTCATGCATTAACGTGTTGTGAATTGTTTATGACAAAGCACAGTGCTGGAGCATTCATGCCATAATAATTAATAAAATCTTCTTATTTTCCGTCAAAACAATGTTGAACTTTTCACTAAATAACTATAGATTCTTAAGGAGGCACAGAGACCTTCACATTCTAGCAATAAGCCTAGAGTCTGAATTATATTAGGCGATTTGCGTCTTTATCTTCAAGCACGTCATGTTTTATACAATTTTCATTACGTTTTTCTGAGTTTTTAGCTAAAATTGTCCCTTATCTTTGGGTATAGGTCTACCTTTGTCCTTTGTTATTCAATAATGTTTTAGCTGTATTAAATTATGTTACTACACTGTTCTTTCTTCATTTTTGTTTACATCCTGGGCAACCTTATTTTTCCCATAAAAGGGCTATGGTGTTTTGTAGTCTTTGTATTCAATTCATCACATATTGTACTGAAAGTTTTTGTCTTTATCTTTACTTATCTTACAAAATGAGGAAAAAATTGAAAGTCTGTCTTTTTCTGCAAAAAAAAAAAAAAAATAGGTTTTCCATATTGCACGGTAAGTTCTGAATTACAATGCTTTTGTGTCAAATATGACGTTACCATACTATATGCATTATCTCCGGACTATGTGTTTGATTCATCAACTATTAAATCTTAAAAGTTTATGCGTTTAGCTTATTAAAGCATATACATAGTTGTTTGTGTTTTTAATTTGAAATATTAATAAACAGTCACAACCATTACATTCACAACTGTGTACTTGATCGTTACTCTAGGCTATTTTACGATTGTGTTCCACTAATCAATTCAGGTAAGGGTTATTCGCATTAGTGTCTATTAAAAATAGCAGTCAGTCTTGGTAGAACATACACTACACTTCTGTGGAATGTTCCTCTGATATTTTTTGGGTCATTCTTTTCGCATCCGAAATCTGAAAATTAATATCATTCTCTTACCACCCACTACATTTTCTTGTTCATAGATTTAATAGTAACAAAAGAGTGCAGATTTACTGAAATGTTCAGAATGAATGCGCTTGGGAAATAAAATAAAGTACCAAGACACAATAAAATAATTAATCTTCAACTGTATGCAGAATTGTATAGCTTTAATTAAGAATGGTACTACAGACTACTTATCAAAATTTCACTTGAATTTCTTTTGTGGGTGAAGGAAGAGGGTCAAATGAATGGATTGATGATGGCAATGAGAACAATATGCAGGTGGAGGAGGGCATGAAAGTGACTGAATCTTATGCGATGCCCACTGTTGAAGATTCTATATGAACTATGACATGTTTCGAGGCAATGATGCTGGCCGATACAGGTACCGCCCATACTTTATGCTCACAAATAGTGCTTATTAATAGAGTAATTTATTTTACACCCTAACATATAGTGTCATGGCTTGGTAAATATTTCTGATAATCAGCTTGTTGCTTGCAGAATTTAAAGCTATATGGTGGACCATATAGCTCCTGAAACATATTGTAGACGCATTTACTGAGATAGAACCTCACTTGGTAAGTGGAAGATACTTGCTATTCTAATAATTTTAACTTCTTGAAAGTACTCTTGTGTAATTGATTTCCAAGTGAAGTGCCTATGCAATTCAAAAGGGTTGAATGGAAGAAAAACTTAATTAGTAAGCCGTTAATCTTTAGATCTATTAGTTTCTCTTATTCAACATATGATGATGGTCTTCTTTTGAGCTAAACAGTTGTACTTCATTTAAAGAGATGACCTTTGTGATTTTGGATATGCTCGGCTCTATTATAAGAGTGTTCAACTTGATGTATATTGTAGAGATACTTGGGCTAAATGAATGCTTGGTCAACCTTCTGTATTTCCTTTACCACACAGAACATTGATTCTTAATTTGCAAGGTGAATTGGAATACTTTGTTGATAACATCAATATGGACATACGGGTTTTACTCCTCAAACCTATTGGTTTCTTAATTTTTTTAAATTCTTGTGTGTATTTCTTGCCAAGTGAGCATTGAATTTCTTGAAAGAATGGTCTTTAGTTGAATTTCTTGTACTTTATTCTTTCGTGTATTATTATTTACTCAGATATTTGTTTTAATAATACTGATATTATTATATAAAATGTGTACTCCATAACTCTGTATACACGTGCAGTGCACGTGCCGAGAAACTAGTTATTATAAAAATGGGAGCCCTTAAAGTCAAAAGTTATATGTTAATAATTAAGTAGCATTTAGTACATGACTTGCATACTTGGTGTCACTAAGGACACTTTGATTTCCTACGCTTGCTAGAGTATTGCAAGCTTCATAAGATAGAAATTTCACAAAAACATAGTGTTCTAGTAGTTCCCTCTCCACAATACATTTTACATAAGATGGAGGTTCAACAAAAAAATTTTGCCTTCCGTTTGATCAGCAGCCTTCTTAGCCATTTGATGAGCTATACTATTCCCTTGCCTGAATGCGTGCTGGAAGGTTATCTCCTTCTACTGGTGCATTAACAACCTGCATTCATTAACAATTTCACCATATAATCTATTGCCCTATTGGAATGATTGAATTACCTCCACGGAATCTGTCTCTATCTCAAGAGGAACATTCCCCATTCTTGTGATGAAAGCCCACTACCCAATGTCCATTGGCATTCCTGAATACAACTCCCAGGCCACATTTTTGTGTACAACTGTTAAAACTAGCATCAATATTTAGTTTAAACCATCGTTGGTGGTTTGTGCCAGCCAATTTTGATAGGAATTTTTTGAGGAGTGTATATACTTTTTTCAGTGAGGAGTTTGTATTCAGTAGCCTTTTCAATAATATAATCACCATTAATAGGAATTTCGGTGTTGTTTTGATTGTTATTATTCCTATTTAACCAAATGTACCATATAGCAAAAGGAAAGAAAGAGTCCCAATTTATAAAATTATTTTTTATTGGGTAGTCAAAAGCTTTTAGTTGAATAAGCCCGTTTTCATCTTGAGTTTTATAGTAATGCTGTCACCCAAGACTGTCCCAGAAAAAATTTGAGGCTTTGCAATTAAAGAAGATGAGAGTTATAGATTCCTCTTCTTCACATTTGCATATAGGGCAATTTGGATCGATGTTTAAGCCAATCTTAGCTAGGTATTTTATACAAGGTATCCTATTATGGAGACATTACCATAAGAAGAATTTGATTTTATTTTGCTTCTATAAACCCAATTCTTCCATGTCTAAAGTTCCATTTTAATATTCACTTCGGACCTTCATCTTTGCGTCCCTCGGTTGAGATTTATAAATTTCTCGAGGCCAATCAGACTACGCAGTTAATCATATCAGTTTTCCAGCAAAAATTTTATTTCGCTTCATCATTATTTCGGATCTGAATCAACAAAAGCCATTTGTAAAGATCTTTCGCGTCTCTTAAAGCTAGGAACAATGGAACTTGGGCCCTTACCAAGATAGGCCAAGGATATCACTTAGCACGACGAGTTAAGCTAATACGCTATGGCTAAGTTACTATATTTACGTGCACATAATTTTCTATTTTATCTTACTGCAAGATTGTGGCCATTTTGTTAACTTAAAATCATACTATTTGATTCTTTCATTTAAAGACAATTATTTTGATCAAACTTTCTGGAGAGAATGGTATGTTCAATTTTTGTTGTCTATGTTTGTATACGGTCAAAATCGAGTTATCCCTTTTGTATGACTAATCGAGACCAGGACATGCTAGGCCAAGGTTCAGCCTCGTGCTATATCGAACCATGATGCAAAGTTACATTGCCGAGCTCGTGACCCAGAGACCGATCAAGTCGAGATCGACCAAGATCGAAATCGAGCAAGATAGAGATCGAGCAAGATTGAGGGAAGCTTACCGAGCCAAATAACGGAGAGCCAAAATATCTGCAATCGGGTGAGGATCACGGTGGAAATCCTGGCACGTATCAAGAAGAGGCCTCATAGAGAATTGTACCAATAGTAGGACTCCCTTACTATATATAGGGGGTCCGATCATTTGTAAAAGACATCATATCCACGCAATACAAAGCAATATACTGTCATATTCTAACTTTCATTATCTTGTTATTATGTTCATAAGCTAGTTGAAACATCTTTTAGTTCATAGGTGACTGAACTCGAGGGTCAAGGCTATTCAATTTGTGTGGTTTGCATTTACTCTTTTATCGTCAATTTCAATATTAATTTATTCTCCTTAATTTGTACCAAGTTAGAACACGTATCCTTAAAACCGCGTATAAATTCAATTGTTATCCGATTTTAGGGTAAACAGTTTGGCGCCCACCGTGGGTCTAAGGATAATAGTATTACCTGGTACAAACTTTCGTGACACACACTATTTTACACTTGTTCTTTTAAGTGTCTTTGATTACATGACTAAAAAATGTCGAACTCTCAGTCAGTACCCCTACACAATGACAATGATTTTGGCCATCACGGTAAAAATGATAACATAGCACCAGAGAACAATGTACCCCTGGTTGGCCTCGGTGGAGTCCAGCTGTAGATCCAATCGACGTTACATATAGCCATCAACGGAAATTTGGCCATCGATCCCTAAGGCAGAGTCCGCAGGGATGCTCGATCAGCCGCTTAGAGTGCACGTGGCGGTGAAGATGGCGGGATCAGCCTGCGGGTGATCTTCGAAATGTTGCAGATTCAGCAGACAGCAATAGCCCGGCTCCAAAGCCAGAATCACACACCAAGCAGGGTCGAACTCGAGCCATCCCAGGAAATTATACACTGGGTCGAATCGGTTTCAAGGAAATCGAGCGAGAAAGAATCGAAGACCAATCCTGCTATCATGAAGATGCTCGAAGAACTAACAAAGTGAATCGTGTCAGGGGAAAAGAAGAATAGTGAAAAATGACAAGAAGGTGGAAACTTATATTTCCAGGGTCGATTAGATCTCAGGGGCACCGCCAATATTGTAGGGACTGGATTCCAAAAAGTTCGTAGAAAAATCTTTCCCCCCGAGTGTGGCTCTAAAGCTAATCCCCAAGAAGTTCTGCATGCCCAAGATTCCTAAATATAATTGGACAACCGATCCGAACGAGCACGTCACCTCTTACACGTGTGCTATCAAAGGGAATGACCTAGAGGATGATGAGATTGAAACTATCCTGCTAAATAAATTCAGAGAGACCTTGTCGAAGGGTGCTATGATATGGTACCATAATTTACCGCCTAATTTTGTTGACTCGTTTGCTATGCTTGCAGATTATTTCGTAAAGGCACACAGGTGGGGCCATCAAGGTCAAAACCAGGAAGTCGGACCTTTTCAAGGTAGGGCAGAAGGACAACGAGTTGCTCGGAGAATTCGTATCTCGATTCCAAATGGAATGGATGGACTTGCCACCGGTTGCCGACTATTGGGTTGTTCAAGCCTTCACTCAAGGTCTCAACGTTCGACGTTCAGTGGCTTCACAGTAGTTAAAGCAGAATTTGATAGAATACCTAGTTGTCACTTGGGCCGATGTGCACAATCGGTATCAATCTAAGATCAGGGTCGAGGACAATCAACTTGGGGCTTCTTCTGGGTTCGTTTATCCTATCAGACTCGTCGATAGAATCAAGAGGGATATTCACCGAGAACCAAGGTCGAATAGAGATCGATATCAACCATATAATGGAGATCGTAGGTGTGATGATCCAAAAGGTCATCTTATGTTTTAGAACTCGATTCCGTGTTTCGAAGCCTTCAAAACCTCATTTTATTCTTCCTCGATTTGCGTGCGCGGTTCGGGCGTATTTCCGGAATGCTTTTATGTGGAAAGTTGAGAAAATAATAATTTTTACCTTTAAAAAGTTAATTTAGTTGACTTCGATCAATATTTTGAGCAAACGGACCCGGACACATGTTATGACAGTCCCGGTGACTCCGTATCAAAATATGGGACCTGGGCGTATTCCCGTAATCGAATTCTGAGGTCCCTAGCCCGAGAAATGAATTTTTGTTAAAAATTGTAAGTTTGAAAATCTAAAGGTTTAAAAAATTTGATTAATGTTTGATCTCGTTGGTATCGGGCCCGTATTTTGGTTCCGGAGCCCGGTACAGGTTTAATATAATATTTAAACCATGTCTGTGAAATTTGGTGGAAATCGGAGTTGATTTGACGTGATTCGGGCGTCCGGTTGAGAAAAGAGGAATTTCAAAGTGTTCTTAAGAATTTCATGTGATTTGGTGCTAAATTCGTAATTCTAGGTGTTATTTTCGCGATTTGATCGCACGAGCAAGTTCGTATGATATTTTAAGACTTGTGTGCATGTTTGGTTTGGAGCTCCGAGGGCTCGGGTGAGTTTTGGATAGGCTACAGGGTGTTTTGAACTTAGGGTGAGATTTGGTATTGTGGAACTAAGTGTTGAAGTAAAACTTGTTGTTATCCTTTCTATCTTCCTATTATTGTTGTCTCTTATTTTGGTGAGGTAGAGTGATAAAGCACGAAGGGTGATGCCGTGTACATTTCTATGATTTATATGGTGAGGAAGAGTGATAAAGCACGAAGGATGATGCCATGCACGTTTATATTATTTATATGGTGAGGTTGAGTGATAAAGCACGAATGGTGATGTCGTGTACGTTTCTATTATTTATATGGTGAGGTTGAGTGATAAAGCACGAAGGGTGATGCCGTGCACATTTCTACTATTGATTATTTGGTGAGGTTGAAAGTAAAATCACGAAGGGTGATGTCGTGCATTTTTTGTTTGCTGTGTTTACTTGTTATTACCGGTTCAAGGTGTACTAGCTGTTTAAACTCCTCTTTTGCTGTAATTCTTTATCTTGCAACCCCCTTAGCATGTTTCCCCTCCCGTTAATTTCTACTTAGCTTCTATTAGTTGTATTCTGTTAGTATATTATTTAATTGCACAGGTTTATGTATGTGTCTCGTCCTGGCACGTCACTACTTTGCCGAGGTTAGGCTCGA